ATTATGCTTGTGAAAGTTTGTCTGTCCTTGCAGGTGAAACACCCCTTGCTATTTTAGCAGGGATTTAAATAATGTGCTTCACAGATGCACCTCCAGCACCTGAAATACTATTGTCACATACTTGGCATGTAAATATTTAAATGTATGATATAAACAATTTACCACATTTGGATCACTCTTCCCAGGATACACTCACATTTGCTCAGGCTCCATTTCAAACATCTCATGTGACATAATACACACAAAGCACTAAGAATAAGATAAATCCTCTCCGAATCTCTAGAAGAGGTGATTTAACTAATTATGTGCTATTTAGATTAAAATAATCTATTCAGGGTGTATTTTAATTTTTAAAATTCATTCACGTGCTGCCAAGACTAACCTATATTAAAATACGATAACATAAATTTGTAACAAAATTAAATGACTAGGAAACAGGAAACCAGATGATTTAAAACTAGCTCAGAGGGTTTTTTTTAATTATATAAATTTTTCTATAACCTTCATTCCAAAGCTTATAATTAGCAATACTGGACAAATAACACATAATTTTATTTAAGTATTTAGTGATTACATGATCCAAGAGATTTAACTGGAAAGTAATAAGACTATTCAAAGCTCACATGAAAATTGTTCTGATTTATGCCTTTTTAATTTCTTATAATTAGAGTTATTATGATAATTATATTTTAATGCTATAATTGGAGTTAACCTTCTTACACATTTTTCTAATATTGGGTATACTATTCATATCTCATGTAAAAATATATTTCCCATATAGTGCTCTGTGTCAAAAAATAGTTTTCTCTCACTAATATAAGGTCTATAAACATATTTCATGGAATTTGTTTCTAAAAGCTGAAAATACATAAGGTAAATAGCAGCTTTCAAAAGTCTTAACAGTGATAGAAACAACAGGAAATCCTGAAACATTTGAAGCTAATATTTTAAGGAAAACTGAAATTGCTCTTTTAGTAAGTAATAAATTAAAATATAATATCAATTACAATGAAATTCCTATGATTAATATCAGCAAGATGTAGAAACTTAAGAATTAATAGGAAGTTTTAAGATTAATAAAAGTTAAACTTTAGACCTTGAATGCACATGTATCTGTTTCAACATGAGTTGCAGGACTCAAACCATGATTCAGATTCATAGGTCTCTGTTTTGTGAAAACAGTCAGTATTTTTTCTCTTCAGAAGTTTTGCTGTATTTAGGCAAAGTAAAATGAGAAATGGAGACAATTAGTCTGCTAATTAAATTAAAAGCAAGCAAAAAAACAGAAAACATAAAATATAATCATTTTAAATATCCATACTCTTTAGAAGGAAATGTTTTCCTTTTTTGCATGAAAGAAGTTTATACATGTTCAACAAAGTAAAATAAATAATTAGAAAAGGGATAGATACATTAAATAGATGAGGGAATTAAATTCATAACTCTGAAACATTATTCAAATTGCTATTACAAATTTTTTGGACATTTTAAAGCATTTTTTCAGATACAGTGGTCCAACTTAAATGAGTAAGCACCAGAGTTCTTGTCTTGTCCTGTTGAATGAAGGGCCAGCATTGTAGCTCAGCAGATTTAACCTCCACCTGTCATGACAGCATCCTCTACAAGTGCTGGTTTATGTTCTGACTGTCCTCCTTTGAATTCAACTCCCTGCTAATACTCCTGGGAAAGCAGTGCAAGATGGCCCAAGTGGCTGGGCCCCTGTCTTCCACAAGGGTGGCCTGGATGGAGTTCTGGGCTCCTGGCCTCAGACTGGCCAAGCCCTTGCTGAGTGGTCCTTTGGGGAGTGAACCAGCGGATGGAAGATCTCTACACTCTGCCTTCAAATAAATAAATGTAACCTTGAAAGTATTTTGGAGTGGAAAGTGAGAGATTTTTTTTTGTACTGAATATTGTCTTAGTATCTTACATGTATGTCTAAACAACTAGAAGAAAAAAATGAAGCTTGATAACATATTCTACTTAGTGGGATCTTGGAAGAACAGGCATCTCCAAAATATTGCTAATGAAATACAAAGATTTCAATGGATTTCGAGTGCAATGTGCTGAAAAAATTAGCCAAACACAAAAGATTGTAGAAAAATACATTTGTCTGACACTCTTAAAAAGACAAAATTTTAACGATAGAGGAGAGACCAGTGTTTTCCAGGAGTTAGGAATAGAGAGAATATGATTATAGAAGAGGTACTATAAGGGAGTTTTAAGGAGTTATGGAAGTCATCTTCATTCTGATTTGGAGATAGTCCCACAAGTCTATACCCTGTTAAATCATACAACTATAAACCAAACAAAAGGAAAACATACTATTTGCCAACTTAAATATAAATATATATATGTGTATATATATATAATATGTATTCTTTTCTGTATCTCATGTTTTCTGTGTTTTTTTTTGTTGTTTTTTTTTTTGTTTGTTTTTGTTTTTGTTTTTGTTTTTTTGACAGGCAGAGTGGACAGTGAGAGAGAGAGACAGAGAGAAAGGTCTTCCTTTTGCCGTTGGTTCACCCTCCAATGGCCGCCGCGGCCAGCACGCTGTGGCCGGCACACCGCGCTGATCCAAAGGCAGGAGCCAGGTTATTCTCCTGGTCTCCCATGGAGTGTAGGGCCCAAGCACTTGGGCCATCCTCCACTGCACTCCCAGGCCACGGCAGAGAGCTGGCCTGGAAGAGGGGCAACCAGGACAGAATCTGGCGCCCCGACCAGGACTAGAACCCTGTGTGCCAGCACCACAAGGTGGAGGATTAGCCTAGTGAGCCGCGGCACCAGCCTGTATCTCATGTTTTATACTCTTTATATAGGGACGAAGTAAGGGCTTGTTTTAGAAACTAATTAAAATCATATTTCTTGGTGGATGGAAATGGTTTAGACAAAGATTAAAGCAAAATGGAACTTCTTATTTTCTGCCTTTTAATCCTGTTTTGACTTTTCTAAAAGATGTTGTTTATTTATTTTAGAAGTAGAGTTACAGACAGAAAGATAGCGAGACAGAAAGAAAGGTCTTTCGTCTGCTATTCACTCCCCAAATGCCCCCAATAGCCGGAGTTGGGTTCATCCAAAGCCAGCATGCAGGAGTTTCTTCAGGGTCTCCTACTTGTGTGCAGGGACACAGGTACTTGAGCCCTCTTCTACTACTTTCTAGGCCGTAGCAGAGAGTTGGACTGGAAGAGGAGCATTTGGGACTCTAACTAGTGCCCATATGGGATGCTGGCACTGCAGGCAGAGGCCTAGCCTGCTATGCCACAGCACTGGACCCTCTTGTTTTGACTTTGTACCACATAATTGAATTATCTTTTTAAAAAATATAGGGCTGGGGCCCGGGATTTTGGAGTAGTGGGTAAAGCCACTGCTTGTGACTCCTGCATCCTATATGGGTTCTGGTTCAAGTCTCAGCTGCTCCACTTTCAATCCAGGTCACTACTAATGCACCTGGGAAAGCAGCTGAGGATGGCAGAATCCTTGAGTCTACACCCTGTGGAATACCCAGAAGCAGCTCCTGGTTCCTGGCTTCAGTTTGGCCCAGCCCTGGCCATTGCACTCATTTGGGAAGTGAACCAGCAGATGGAAGATTCTCTCTCTGTCTCTTCCTCTCTGTCTTTCTGTACCCTGCCTTTTAAATAAATAAAACAAATCTTTTAAAAAAAAGAGGCTGGTGGCCGGCACCACAGCTCAATAGGCTAATCCTCCACCTCTGGCGCCGGCACACCGGGTTCTAGTCCCAGTCGGGGCGCCGGATTCTGTCCCAGTCGCTCCTCTTCCTGTCCAGCTCTCTGCTGTGGCCCGGGAGTGCAGTGGAGGATGGCCCAGGTCCATGGGCACCTGGCTCCTGGCTTTGATCTGTGCGGTCCGTGGGCCGCAGCGGCCATTGGAGGGTGAACCAATGGAAAAGGAAGACCTTTCTCTCTGTCTCTCTCTCTCTCACTGCCCACTCTGCCTGTCCAAAAAAAAAAAAAAAAAAAAAAAAAAAGGCTGGCAAAGTGGCATAGTGGGTAAAGCCACCACCTGAGATGTCAGCATCCCAAGTGGGTGCCAGCTCTACTCCAAGCTGCTTCACTTCCAACCCAGTTCCCTTTTAATATGCCTGGGAAAGCAGTTGAATATGGCCCAAGTGGTTGGGCCCCTGTACACATGGGAGATCTGGAAGAAACTCCTGGCTCCTGGCTTCAAACTGGATCAGCCCAGGCTGCTGTGCTGTTGTGGCCATCTGGGGCTTGAACCAGTAGATTGAAGATTTCTCTCTCTCTCTTTCTCTGTAACTCTCACTTTAAAAATGTTAAATGGATATTTTTAAAAAAGAAAAATACCATTACATTAGAGACAAGAAAATAAAAATGAATCATGTCCCTGATGGTTGATTCTATTTCTTTTCTCCCTCCTCAATGGTACTAAATTATTTGCTTAATATTTTAATTAAGTCAAGAGTATTTAAGTAGTTACTTGGGTACAGTAGGAGCAGTAACAGGTAGGTGCATACAAACCTATTGGATTGATTTCTGAACATTGTTTTTCTTTTTGCCCCCTGCTGAGTTGCAGATAGACCTAGTAGGAGCTGACAGAAGTTTCTTCTGGAAATGATTCCTCTTATGCCTGAATCAGCCTCATTATAAACAATTGTTAAATGTTGAAGACATAAGTATATTTAGTCTGCATTACACATTGTATAATCTACCAAAACATCACACAGAACCCCATAAATATGTCTAATTTTTAAAAATGTTTTAAAAATATAATTTAGAAAACTATGAAATCTATTTCTTTGCCAAAATCCTAACATCTACCATCACTTGTCTTGATATATACTATAGCAAAATTGTATTACTGTTTTTAAAATTCAGCCATGTTTCTGTATTATGTGATACTAACAGATTACTGAATGAAAGGATGGCAGTTAAACAAGCTGCTTCATCTAGTCAGTGGGAAATAACTGATTGTTATTCTACCTGGTTGACCAATTTGATTTATTTAGTTTTGCTTTAACTTCACAGATGTTAAACATATCTGAAAGAACCTGAATATTCCCATTGACTCTCATCTTTTGCTGCTTTATCTGTAATTAGGTGAGTTTATAGCAGATTCTTTCATAGCTGACAACACTTAATACATACTAAGCTATCTGCTTTTCAATTTTTAAATGCAATACTTCTGTGAGTAATTGAGTTCTTAAAAAAACATGGGGTTGTTTGAAAATTCCTGTTGATTTTTTATTGCTTGTTTGTGTCTGTAGGAACCAGTTTTTTCCAAAGAGTCCAGTTCAAATATAAGTGATGTCAAAAGACATGGACAATAAGAACTTGAATTAGAGTTTCTAACTCCCAGAATCAGGTTACACAAAATAATCAATCTAGCTAATAATATCAATACATTTCCAGTTACTTTGGTGCTGCAACTACATTTTTATTTTGAGTTAGGTATTCCAAATTGTATTCTAGATTGAATTCTGAAAACAAATTCTAGTTTTGAGATCTCTGGGAATGACTTCTCTCTTGCTTACTAAAGATTTGCAAAAATCAACACAACTAGTGCCCCTTTGGGGGAAATGACTGTGAGAATACACTTTCTAGATTTCAAATAAGCTACATTTTAAATCATACTATAGAATGACTTTAAAATATTCTATATTAAATTATCTTTAACAAAACTAGACAAATTGTACTCACAATAATCTTTAAGACTGAACAGGAAAATAGATAGCTGGGTAATTTCTGTTCTGGTTTCATACTCTGCAGCATAGCACTAATTGAATACACTGCCTTCAGTATATTATATTAACAAATCAGTGAGGACCCCGAAAGAATGACAGGCATGCCACTCATCAGTATGTCATTAGACCAAATCTTCGAGTCTTGTGAAATCCAAGTTGTCTCGCTCCCAAGATATAGGGATAGTGATGTGCTAGATTGTGTATGAGGTCTTATTACAGAGTTGTCAGTTTTAGTTTGAAACATAAACATATTTTATTCATACATTAGTGCTTCTAGTGATCAATGACAGTGTATCTAGTACACTAGAATTTGTTTTTGATCAGTAGACGAGCAATTATTCATAAAACTCAAAATAGAAGCAAAGTTGTGAAAGAAAGGAAAAGAATTATAGGTTTCTTACAGGGAAGGTAATTTTAATATAGACGAGATTGGTCCAAGTTCTGCCATTTGGATTGATAGATTATCTAGCAGAACTATCATTTCAATAATCTCAATGACAGTGCAGCACTGGATACTTGGTACTGTATTATAAATTAAATTTACTGCAAATGTTATTACAAAGAATATGGAAAGAGATCTATTATTTGTGTTTGTGAAAGTTTAGATAGGGAAAAATTTAAGATTCTTTGACAAAACATAACAGAAGTGATCTATATGATACAGTTCTATTGCCAGTTGTCAAAATTTTCACTTTAGCCATTACTTCTTCATCAGTATCCTTGAGTTATAGTGACATGATTTCACTTGCAAGAGAAAATATTATATTAATCAAACTGAATGTTACCCTGTATGGTGGTGCTTTTCACTGTTTGGCAATGTTGGCTGCAGTGAACTTTTTAAAGAAACTCATTTTGGCTTCTCTTTATTTTTCCTATTATTGAGAGCTTATAGTAACTATAGTATGAGGTTGTTGGTGATCCCTTCATTTTGATAATAAGAGTTCTAATTATATTAGTTGATGCTTACAGCATTGATGCTTACTGTTTTAAAATGTGATCCTATGTTTGCACTAACTTTTCGAATAATCTTGTATTCATATCTGGAAATTTTATGTGATATAGTTAAAATATAATTTTTATATATCTATCACCTATCATTCTTCTTTTTACTTATCTAAATGCATTTGCTTAAAAGTAAAGTCAGTGAATATTTCTCAACCATTTTATTTATCACCAGGCCAATATTATTATATAAGTATTATTGTATCAGTTTTATTTGTTTCATAATAGCCAGGTAGCCCACATATTAGGAATACTATCTGAAAATGTCAATTATACTTTTCTCTGCCTCTGCCTTTGGATGCATTCATAGACACCACCCCACTCATCAATCATTTTTATATTAGAGCTTTGAAACAATAAAAGCTACAATCATAAGATAATAATTGCTAACATATGATAAGTGCTTATGGCATGGCTGAAACTCTTGTTTTGAAGCCTCAGTCTTCCTAAGAACCCTGTCAGTAGATACTATTACTGTACCAGTGCTAAAAATGACGCATAGAAATTCAGAGAGGTATCCCAGATAATACAGCTGGAAAGAAGAGTCAGGATTTAAGATTGGCTTATGTGGAACTGAAGAGGGAATATTGAGAATAGCTCTTTGCATCTTATCTTTCCCGAGGCCAAACCATAACGTCTTTAGGACTCCTTCTACATTGGTGCATCTAAGAAATTGCAGACAAAATGATTGATGCTACAAAGTATCTTTTTTAGTTGCTAGTGTAGCGAATAGTGTCAGATGCTTCTGTATTTAAACAAAGAAGGCCACAGACTTAAAAACTTAGAATTCTCTTTCAGGGATGAGAGGCCTCTTTTCTCCCAGGGGCCATTTGGACAAATATTATCAACTTAAGAATTAGCCTGCTATAGATTTACTGAATCTTGAGTCCCAGTTGCCTTGATAGGGCCAAACCAAATGATTTTGCTGGCCTTATACGGCCTGCAACCCAGATGTTCCCACCTGTGCTAGAAGTATCCCAGGAGCCACTACACTGGAAGATTATCTCAAAAAAGTTGTCCGTTTATCATTTCCCCAGATGTCTCATGGATTTAGAAGAATGCATTAGTAAAATATCAAGTAGAACACAGTGTCTTTTTAGCACCCACAGCAGCAAATCCCTTACACACACACACACACACACAGTGTTATTAAAGGGGGGATATATTATTACTCTGCTGCTTATGAATATAAAACTCATTCAGGGCTAGCATTGTGGTACAACAGGTTAAATCCCAGCTGATCCACTTCTGATCCAGATCACTACTATTGTGTCTGAGAAAGCAGCAGAAGATTGTCCAAGTCTTTGGACCCCTGCAAGTTCCTGGCTCCTGGCTTTCACCTGGCCCAGCCCTGGCCATTGTGGCCATTCAAAGAGTGAAACGGGATCTTTCTCTCTTTCTTCTGTCTCTGTAACTATGCCTTCAAAATAAAAATAAATCTTTAAACACACATACACATATCCAAGGGAAAACAAATGGTATGTTTTTATACTATATATTCCCAAACTCCTAGTCACATGTACCATACACACACTCAGGATTGTGGGTTACACTTTTAGTAAAAAGAGGTATCAAGTTGGTGGAAAATTAGTATTGGATAAAGGTCTCAGGGCTATAGAGGAGTGGGTTTTAATGGGACTCAGGAATGAGAGAATCAAATCCATTACTATTTTGTAAAGAAATTTATGCAAAGTCTTATCTGCAACCCATAGGAACAGGTGAATTAGGAAAATTCAGAATTTTTTATATTTTGAAATAAAGGTATTGCAGCAGTGAACACAATGCCACAGCAGGTTTTGAGTAGCAACTTCTGATGAGACTTAGCATCATTTTTTGCAGTAAATGTATATTTATACAAAGTGGGATAAGAATAGGGAGATAGTAATTTTTGTTCCCAATTGAGCTCTATCCAAAATTCGCTTTCTTAGATTATCAGGGATTTATTTTAGAATAGTGTCTGAAATAGAAAAATTACTGTATCTGCTAAGAATTACTCCATTTTATTTATTTTTAGCCCTTTCATCATGAAGCACACCCTTTGTCATGTTCTGTGTCTAATAAATGGACCCAGATATTGTTCTCATCCTTGAGACCTTTACAGACTTTCACTCTTTCTGGTTAGCTGTTAGCAGATACAAGAAGTTCATTCACTTGAGGTGTTGCTAAATATTCAGTCTCAAACGGAAGTTGAGTGGAAGAAAGCTCTATTTATTTGTAACAAAGGGGGCAGTGGGAAGGTATGGTTCTTTCAAGAAATAATCCCTCCGAGAAACACCAGTTTGACAAGGCTTTTATGGGGTAAAGGGAGTGTCCTGGATGTCCAAAACAGTAAGAGGGCCCTTCCTTCTTACAACACAGGTCCTTCTTCAGCGTATGTTCAAAAATCTGACTTAGATTGGCTTCTTGGAGCTTTCCTTGTTTGTGGTGGTCTAGCTGATCTCCGAGTACCAAACTGCAAAGTTAGCCTTCCTGGATATCCTCTGCAAAATGAGCTCTGATTCAAACTGGTTTCTTGCCCCTTTTCTTGTTTGTGGTGACACAATCCACTCTGGAGTACAGTGCTGCAGCATAAGCTTTCCTGAAACAGCCTCTGAAAAACACACACAAGTGAGTAAACTTCTTGCCTAAATCCTACACTCTTGGTTGCACAATTCCTCCTGACACATTTTACTCCTCCTTCTTGAAGGATAAGGAAGATTAATCTTCTGTAACCACTTCTTGCTGAATGGAGGTGGAGGCAGTGGTGGGGTTGGTGAAGTGCACTGGTATCTCTCAGGTTACAATGAGGCAGAATAGAGACAAGGCTCACTAAATGAAGCCTCTCCCACCCTGCATGTATCCATCATCAAACCAATGAGGAGCAAGAGAGGCCCAGATTCTAAGACATCTCCCTCATCATCCTATTAAGGACTTCCCCAATTTGCATACATGCCAGAATATCCTAGTGTGACTGGTATGTAAACTTCCTGTGGTGGTGGTCGTGAGCAACACCACCCTTTTAAGTGTGTCCTATGCAAAAAATCGACAGCACCTGCACAGAACAATGACCCAGGTGCAAGGGGGAAGAAACAGAATTCATAGGTCGTGTTCAAATCAAAATGCCCTATGTGTTCCCAATCTCATAAATACACCTGTTCAGTTCCTGTCAGAGATCCTGGAAAGGTTTAGGAATGGATGAACCCATCAGAGATTGAGCTTCTCACTTACATGACAGGACATATTATTATTTTAACCAATGTTCGCACTCCCAATGAGGAAGACCATGTCCTAAAGAAGGCCTGAGAGCATGCTGACAGTTTTGTCAGCACTTAGCCACAACATTTAGTATACATAGATTGGTAAACTGATGACTAAGCCATTGCAAGTTTTACTTGTTTTTTTACCCCTTATAGGATCCTTGGTTGTTATCCTGTTACTGATGTTCAGCCTCTGCTTTTTAAACTTTTGGAAAAATTGGTGTTTCCTAGACTACAATATTTCTCTGTCAGTCTGATTCTGGCCCATAACTCGTAATCAATCCCACCATCAGAAGAGCCAACCCTCTAAAGTCATTAGAATGAGGATAGATCTTTGTGCTTCCAGGATTTAGGATACAACTAACTCTTCAGCAGGAAGCAGATACGTAAGATGACACCTTTGGCTCACTCTCCTTAAGAACAAGGAGGATAAAACTTCTCAGGTTAGAAATAGGACTTGCAAACTCAAGCCCTCAATGCTTCATAACCTGACATGTTCTTACCTGCTGACCTGGTATTCATCTCCAGCTCCAAACTAACAAGGAGCAAGGAGAAACCCGATCATAACCACAAAAGACCTCTACTACCTTGTTAAGGACTTCACCAACCTGCATATATTTCTGGAATACTCAAAGTTTCCTGGGGTCTTGGGAGTGAGTGATGCCTTTATTTTATGCAGGAATTGTGCTAAAATAAATGAATGGGTAAATGAATGAATGAATGAGTGAATGAATGAATGAATAGATAGATATTGCTTGTACAGAACACTGAGCCAGTGCAAATCAAAATGGTGTATGTCTAGAGGGGTTCAGCCAGAACTCTGGGTTGGGCACACATGGACATGTCATGCATCTATGGGGAATTACCATGCTTCTCAACCAGTAAGGACTCCTGCCCAACTTCCCTCACACAGTCAGTCAACAGAACCTCTTCTTGACCATCGTCCCCTTGTGCCTGAGCATAAGCTCCCAATTAGCTTTTTATGAGGTCACCAACATCCCCATGTTCTACAACAGTCAAGATATTGGAACAACCAAAATCTTCATCAACAGATGAATGAATGAAGAAAATGTGATCTATATCTAAAGCTAGAACATTGCTTAGCCTTAAAAAAGAAAACTCCACCCTATGTGAGAACATTATGAACTGAGGAAATTGTTTCTCAAGTCTGACATTATGATAGACTTTTGGATATCTTTTTTTAATTTTTTTTTATTTTGATTTTTTTGACAGGCAGAGTGGATAGTGAGAGAGAGAAACAGAGAGAATGGTCTTCCTTTTGCCGTTGGTTCACCCTCCAACGGCTGCCACGGCTGGCGCGCTGCAGCCGGTGCACCATGCTGATCCGAAGGCAAGAGCCAGGTGCTTCTCCTGGTCTCCCATGGGGTGCAGGGCCCAAGGACTTGGGCCATCCTCCACTGCACTCCCTGGCCACAGCAGAGAGCTGGCCTGGAAGAGGGGCAACCGGGACAGAATCCAGCTCCCCGACCGGGACTAGAACCCAGTGTGCCGGCACCGTAGGCAGAGGATTAGCCTATTGAGCTGTGGCGCCGGCCGTACTATCCATTCTAAAACCACATCAAAATTTGTACATGCTTAGTCCTCAAAGTGTCAACAATTCAATGTTTTTAAAGTAACATCCATAAGGCCAGCATTATGGCACAACCCATTAAATCACTACCTGCAGTGCAAGCATCTCATATGGAGTATTGATTCCAGTCCTGCTCACGTGCCTGGTAAAGCAAGGGAAGATGGCCAATTACTTGTGCCCTTGACACCCACATGGGAGATTCCAGTGGAATTCCAGGCTCCTGGCTTGAGCATGGCCCTGGCCTTTTTTGGCCATTTGGGGAGTGAATCTGCAAATTGAAGATTTTTTTTCTCTCGCTGTCCCATTGTTTTAAAAAAAAAAAACTTAAAAAAATATAGCAACATCTATTTGTCTCTCCTCAAACGTATACTGAGCAGCTTCTCCGTGCTAGGCATAGTCTAATGCTTTAAAGCAGGCTGGTGAACAAGATTTCCTAGTGCCCTCACCTCTCTGAACTGTCCCTTACAGTTCTATTCTAGGCTTGTGTTCTTCATGCATACTCTACTTTCTCCTGCCTGCTACCTGTGTGTCATGTTCTGCCTTCCCATAATGATCATGTCTTCTCATCCTACTTCTTCCACCACATCCCTGTCAGAGTTCCCGTTCATATCTCAGTTCAAATATCACTTCCTCAGAGAAATCTCTTCTTATGTTCAAGTCTCCCAGATCCATGTACTTCCATTTTGGGACCAATTTTAGTGGCAAAATGATCTATCCTTGTGTCATGAGTTGACTAAAACTCCCTCCCTCATCAGACTGAAAGTTTTCTGAAAGCAGAGATTATATCCTTTTTTATTCACCTACAGGTATCAAGTACAAAATACTGTGTCTGGAATAAACCAAGGATGCAAATCCCACATGCTTAGAAAGTCAGAAATTGGAGCTGGTAATGTGGCGCCTTTGGCCAATCCTCTGCCTGTGGCATCGGCATCCCATATAGGTGCCAGTTTTAGTCCCAGCTGCTCCTCTTCTGATCCAGCTCTCTGCTATGATCTGGGAAAGCAGCAGAAGATGGCCCAAGTGCTTCGGCCCCTACACCCATGTGGGAGACCTGGAAGAAGCTCCTGGATCCTGGCTTCAGTTCAGTGCAGCTCTGGCAGCCTTTGCGGCCATTTAGAGAGTGAGCCAGCAGATGGAAGACCTTTATCTCTGTCTCTCCCTCTCTCTGACTGTAACACTCCTTCTCAAATAAATAAATAATTTTTTAAAAAAAATCAAAGTTACAAATATTGATGGTTTGGGCAGAAAAGCAGAACATTCAGGGGGAAGAATAAATATTTATGGGGCTTTTAAATTATTCTTAAATTTTAACTTAGCATAGCATATTATAAAGACACATTTTTCACTAAGACAATTTTAATAAAATTCAAATAAGGAATTAGAAAAATATCTAAAATTTCAAGTATTTTTATTGAATTTACTTATAATAATATAAACAATATTGTTATCTGACAAAAGAACTCAATCTATTTTGCCTTATAACATATGGAGTTATTTCACAAGATTCATAGGAAATAGAATTGAGAAATCAGTTTACTTTGGTGAAAAAGTGTTTGAAATGCATGCATAAGAAAAATCTTCAAAAAGATAATAAAGAATATATTCACCAGCTTCAAACATTTCTGCACCAAAATAAACTTCCCTTTTGGTTTCATTTTTATGAACCTTTTAGGAACTTTGTATAGCATAATTGACTACTTTGTGCTTGGATTCACTGAGGACTTTCCAGCAAGTTTCAAGATTTTGAGACATATTCTCTTATGATCGGTGTTATTTAACTAATTCTGAATTATTTAACTTAACTATATAATTAATGTTTCACTTTCAAACCTTTCTTACATCTAAATCACTCTAATTTTCAAAGTTTCCCAATCACATCATGAGCCTCAATTTTGATTCTGAAAATATGGTTTGAAATAATCAGTTAACAATATTGTAAGTTTTACATCTATCCTCCAGAAGAGAGAAGGTTACAAGTAATTCTTAGCTATAAAGTATTAAGGAATATTTGGAAGTTTCAGCATTTTAGAAAATTTAAGGAAAATAAAATTGAGAAAAAGTCATTGAATTTTTCAGTAAGTTACAGGCAACCTTAAAGATTAGGCTAACATAAGCATAGGGACAGTAGCAAAAAAAAATGGTGTGAAGAGTGATGCTGGTCTAACCTTAGATTAATGTAGATTTCAGGGTTTAAGAGTTTGGAAAGCAAGAGTAAGTCAAGAATTTAAAGAATTAGAATCAAGTAGATGGTTTTGTTTTTAAACAAGCAGAAAGAGATGAGGATAACTGTCAGAAAAGGTCCTGAAGAGAGACTCAGGCTTGAGTGGAGGGCTTTGTCTTCAAAACCAGGCACAAAATCCAGTTCTCAAGGCTTAGGGGTAAACTGGCCAATCTGAAAATATGTCCTCGTTGAAGCAAAGGCAACACTCTGGGTACTTAGCTGCCTTATTCTTTGCCACTCCAAATGTAGCTTTATTTCATATCTGTTTACTCTTTCTTCATCTCTTGATGAATGTGGGACAAAACAAACCAAAATCCCAGGAGTAAATTGAAGTCCCATTGCATTTGTGATTACCTTTTTTCCTTAACACTCTATTCTTTTTTTTTCTTTTCTTTTTTGTACCTTTTTTTAAACTTTTATTTAATAAACATAAATTTCCAAAGTACAGCTTTTGGATTACAGTGGCTTCTCCCTACCATAACTTCCCTCCCACCAGCAACCCTCCCGTCTCCTGTTCCCTCTCCCATCCCGTTCACATCAAG